TGTATAAACTTCTATTGAAATTGGAAACAGAAGAAGAACAGGTGAAAGAATGTATGATAAAGTGTCTAAAAAGTTTGGTTACAATATATAAATGAAACAGTGGGAGAATGTGTGGCTGAAAAGATTGACATTTACACTATGGTATAATCTTAAAGAGAATTTTTATAAAAAGATGTACTGTTGGTATATGTCACCATAAAAATTGTCTAGAATGTATAATGGTTTTACCATGCTTGGTGGACATGCAAAAAAGCTAGAAAATTTTGGACTCAATTACACATTAATTCAGAAGATGTTAAAGATTAATATACAACTGAAACCAGAGGCTTTTCTTTTGGGACATACTGTAGCTTCCTGACCTGACCTGACCTGTATATAGGTTTCGCATGAGGACAATAAGATATTCTGAGATTCCCATTTTTCTGAGCACATTCCACAGCTTGACATGATCAACACAATCAAAGGCCTTTCTATAATCAATGAAGCACATAATGAGTTCTTTTTTATATTCTTTGGATTTCTCAATTATCCAGTGTGCATCAGCAATAATGTTTCATGTTCCTCAGCCTTTTCTAAAGCCAGCTTGAACATCTGGCATCTCTTTTTCCATGTGGAGCTCTAATCTGCATTGGATGATCCTAAGTATTATTTTCCTAGCATGTTAAATTAACGATATTGTACAATAGTTTGTACACTCTTTTTTGGTATAGGATTGTAGATTGGCCTCTTCCATTTCTTGGCCACTGCTAGCACAGCTTGGTTAGAACCTTTACTGTTTCTTCTTCTGTTACTTGCCATATTTCAGTGGGTAATCCAACAGTTCCTATAGCCTTCCGACTTGGTAATGACCAGAGTGCTGATCTAATACTAGCATCTTCTTAGTATTAGAGATTCTTGTAAGTAGGGAATATCTTCTAAGGAATCTTGGATGTTGACGTCTTTACTGTACAGTATTTCAGTATACTTCTCCCATTTTTGTTTGATCTCCTTTGATTCAATTATTATCTATCTATGGAGTCCTTTGGCATACCAATTCAAGGCTGGAACCACCTTCTGTGTTCAGAAATCTTTTTTAAGGTTTTCCTTGTTTTTCCATGTCTGTTTCCATCTTTATTGTCTTTACAGATGTTGCAATATTGCTTCTTGTTTATTCTAACAGCTCTCTGAAACTCTTTGTTAACTTCTTTTCTGAGATTTTTGTCTTTCTTAGCTTTGGCTCCTCTTCTTGGCAATTTGTTCTGATATTCAGTTTGCTTTCTTCTCTTTCTTCATTTTTGGCAGTGTCTTTTTACGTTTATCCTTAATAAGTTCTTTAAGATCATTCCATAATTCCAGGAAATCAACTCCACAGAAAGACTAGAACTACCTTTACTGAGATTGGCCAAAGGAAAACAGATGATCTGGATCAGTATTGAGGGTTTCCCCTATGCTAGGCTAATACTGCAGAATCATAAGAATTCCCAGTAGGAGATGAAGATCTGAAATATGCTTGATATAAGGCATAAGAGGCCCCACTCAACTTCTGAGACATGTCCAATTATATAGTATATAGTATATAGACATGAACTGCCTTCTAGGAATTACCCTTCTTGGGTATGAAAAATATATGCAGATGCTGGAGAGGAGGAAGAGCAAATAAATCCTTTCTTCAAATTGTCATCCAGAAACTCCTTTAAAGTGGCAAACATAGCCAAAAGCATACAGAGTCCACTTGCTCCCAAAGTGTTGTCTACAAACGATACAGTAAATGAATACACTGAGCTGGTAAGAAAGCCTACTGAGAACAAAAAACAAAGATTATATTCCATCTGAAGGAGGATCTTTGCTACAACAATGCTGGCATTTGGAAAACAGGGTCTTTAAGATCATGACACGGAGCCAAAAGAAAGGAAGGATGGTGACTTAGGTCCTCGACTCCTTCATGTACAAGAAAAATGATAAGTAAAGTAAGTAATACAAAATAAAGTAAGCAAAGTGGAAAAATTCTGGAGCAACTGACAAGCTATAAGAAAGAACGTCCTATTGCTGTGGCAATCAAATACCCACAGAAGGAGATCAGTGGCAGTTATGTGTAGGCTTGCATGGTATGCACAGTGGGCTAGGCTCCAGTTAAGGCCATCTGGAATTTTTAGAAGATTCTGAATAGACAGCTTAGGTATATAACCCTGGATAGCAAAAGGTTTTCCACACCATTCTATATATTCAAATATAATATTATTAGTTTCAGTGAATACCTACAGGACTGCAAACCTCTCCCCTAAGAAATCATAGTCAGTTCATATGTGAAGCCAGTGAACCTTTCTCAGTATCTATCACTTTACATTTCTCTGCCATTTCACTGCCTGGTTATATAAGGAGGGATCCTTTAGGAGATCTTCCCAATCTACTTCAGAGTGCAGCCTGCTGAATATTTGAATGGCATTTACAAATATTATCTTAGAAACTCAGATGATTTAAATCAAAGGATTAGATAAATTTACAAAATATGCTAATTTATGATTATAGCTAAATTCATTATTTAATTTCATTGTTATGTTGTCCTTCTTCCAGGAATTTAGGGCAACTTGTTATATATACAAGAACCCGGTGACGTGTAAGTTAGAGAGGGTGACTGCTTCAAGGTTACCTGTTGAATTGGAAATCTGAGTCAAGATTTGTTTTCAGGCCTCCCTTGTCTTGGTCCGCTATTTTAAAGATTTTAGTCCACTAGTCCACTATTTTAATGATCCAGTAGCCTGGATCAATCATCATGATTAATGTCAACAAAACTCTTCTTCTAAGAGGTGGATGATGCTGGGTGGGAGGAAGAAAGACAGCAGGGGTTCCACCAATCCCTGCCCTGAAACTATCCCACATTATAGAGAACACAGGAATGCAATGAGCAGCTCCATTGCAGAGATGCAGTAAGTGTAGGCTGTGGGAGCAGTATCTTTAGTAGCAACACTAGGCAACCCATATCCCACCGGGTCATCCTTTCAGAGATATTTCCTTACCTAAACAGAGAAGCAGAATGACCACGGGCGGGCAAAAAAGCATTGGGAGCGGGAGCGACTTCCGACTTCCTGCTGGCTTCCCCATTTACTTTGCTTGTAGGAAGCTGGCAGGGAATGTCAGAAATCCCTCCACCTCTTCCTCGGCTGACCCGCAGACTGCCTGCCACTTGGCTGGGGGGAGCGGGAACAAAGGGTGTCGGGGACTGCAAGAAAAACTGCACCCTCGCTCCCCATCTTGGCGTATCTCCAAGGCCCCCCTCCCTCCAAGGAGGAAGAGGACTCACCCATCAACACTGGCATCCCGCAGCCAGCCCTACCTCACCAGCAGGCATCCGAGTCACTCCCTCATCTTCCCTCACCACCTACCACTGTTAAGAGATATCAAATTTCAGCCTTGGTTCCAAAGTAGCCAATTGCTGCTCACCCATTGGGCCTTGCCCTCAGCCAATTGGGTGCAGGGGCCAGAGGGAGGTGGGAAAGAAGGCAGGGATATGCCCCTCCCATCTTCCCTTGCGCCATGCAAGGTTTCTAGGAAGTGTAGTCAGAAGGTGCAGTGGCGCTGAAGCAGCCACACCTTTGCCAAATTTCAGTCCCACAGGAGTAATGGGTCCTAGATTTTGGACAGATTTTTTAAGTTAGCCCATTTGATATACATTGATTCAAAAATTGTTGCCCTATGATGCACTTTCGCCCTATTGAAGGTTACAAACAGACAAACACTAAGAGTTTTGGTAGTATATAGATACTTTCCTCCCAACTCAAGGGCAAGAGGAAACCACATTTTCACAGACATGAGGAAGAGCCTATAGACAAACATGCAACTCACTGTATCACATGCAAATACTTAAAAAAAAACCTTTCTCATACATACAAACATAGATTTTTTTTCACTAAGTGGAAAGGCAACATATCCACATTTTGTTTTTCCCAAGAAAGAACCCCCTGAAGCATGCCAATTGTCTAGAGAAGTTCTGTTTTCCTCCCAATGAAAGGTGTGGGGTGGGCAAAACTCCTGCATTCTCACTGCTATTGCAAGAGGAACACAGTATTTTTTAAAAGTTTCTCTGGGAAGACAGGAAAAACTACAGTCTCCTACATTCCTTCCAGTGAAAGTAATCCTCTGCAACTTGCTATCATCAGACTGGCAGGCTGGTTGGGAACAAGGATTGCAATATTGGTGAATTGTAACTTCCAACTTATTTAGCTGTACACCATACTGGTTGGGCCTCCTGGGAATTGTAGTCCAGCAACATCTGGAGGGGCACAGACTCCCAGTTGTAATTTAGATTACTAAAATATGGGCTCTGAACAACCAAGGGTATCAAAGCACATGTTCATTAAGGCATCAGCAGGAGATTAATCATGGTGTTGAGAGAACTCCTGACAAACTCTGTAGGATTCAACTACAGAGATAATTTAACCATTTAAATACCAGTTATGATATAACACCTACTTGAAAAACAAGCTACAAAAACATTTGTATATAAGTAAGAGTTAACAATATTTCATTTTAAAAAATACAGCCCAATGTGAATTCCCAATGTGGACCAGGGAGCAGTCTGGCAAATCAGAAGGTAAAAGCTCTGGCAAATATATATTTGATTTAATAACTGGCATTTCAACAAATTCTTGGCGTAAAAATCTTCAACGCCAAAAGAGCGACCTTCTAAAATTTAGTCCTATTTCACAGTGCAGGTACTCTGAAGCAAAGAATGTGATTTTCTGAGGGCCACATTCTAGAATGGGATATGGTGAGAAATCTTTCAGCAAAACCTAATGAATGGAAGATTAAGCATATATTATTTACGTAAAGCAGAAAGAATGGAAGATATTTTCCCTATCATGGTAAGTCTGCCTTTTAAACTTTCTCACCTGCTATGAATACTAGTGAGGGGGTTATAAATATTATGTATTAGTGTTGGGTAGAGTACCTTCAAAGACTGAATAAGATCACTTTTCTCTATAAGTGTTCTTTTCATGTAATTCTGAATAGTAAGAATATGCCTCTTACCAATAAATATGATCTTTTGATACGTGATCTTGTACGTGAGTCCATTTTATTCCCAAATCAAGAGATGCATAGAGCTTAAAATGAAAAGGAAGGACAAAACATATTATTATTTCCTCCAAGAGTACAAGGTGTTAAACAAGGGACTCTTCCAACTTTTCCCTTCAATAACTTGTGAGGTAGAGTGGAGAGACAGTGAATGGCTCAAAGTCACTTAGTGAATTTTCATGACTGAGGATGGACTTGAACTTAGTCTAACATCTTAGCCATTACCCACCTGGTTCTTCCATATCTTAAAATATTTAAAATGTATTTAAACCTTACTTTACATATTCTTATGCATAATCTTTTTGGCCAAGGAATAAAGCATTGGCAAATTAGTACTGAATGCTGAAGGAGTCTTGGAGAGCCAAAAGGGCCGACAGCTCATGCGTCTGTTATAGATTTCTAATACAGGTTCATTTCAGTATTAAGAAAACATGAAACAGTATTTGGATCCCTATAAACAATCACAGAGCACAGAGGCTGGTTCACATACACAAATCTATCACTCAGTAAATGCAGGATCAACTAATGATGTACAAGCGCAAATCATTGTCGCTAGATGTTAAATCTAATGTCATTTAAAATATGATTTAATTATACAGTATATGTGACAATTCATCTGTGACAACTGGAAAGGGATATGCATGCAGATGTGATATAACCTATTTTTAAAAGCTTTTCTATATCGATTATATTCTTTTCCATTGTAAAATCATTTAATATTTACTTCATACTGTTCCTCCAAACTGTCCAAAACACATTTCAGAAATATCAAAAGCAAAGCCACACAACATTTTTTAGTTATTTACCTGTCCCTCCTTGGTGTAGGCAAGCACCTTATCTTCCTGCTTTGGATGAAATATCAGTGTTTCCACAAAAAAACTAATGGGCTGCTTTTGAAAAGTAGCACCTTCATCTGTACTAATAAAAAGACTCTGGTCCAGGTCATTGTGGGAAGAACTTACAAGAATTATCTATAAAAGAAAAAAAACAAAACAAATCAGCCAAGTTCTAATACTATCTGCACATATCTTTAATTAAAAAGGAAAAAAAAAAGGAACTAAATAAGCAATTGCCTCAAGATCAATTGATCCCAAATAGATTAAAAGAAGTATTCTGCCAAGTATTTTAATAATCTTCTAAACTCTCATGGCTTATCTAAAGACTCCTAAAAAATGAAGCTTAGCAAAACTGCAGGGGATTTTCCAACTAATCCTTAGAGGTTTTCACGTAACTACAGATCTCAGGATTTTGTGAAGCAAAGCAGCAAATCTTATAATACAAATTTAGGCATGTTCCCCGATTTCTAATAAGTGGGAATGCAGTCTAATCTGAGTTTAGGTCTGCTTTATATCAGAATCAGCAAAGGAGTCTTGGGAGGAGGAAGCAACATAGGAAGTATCATGAAATCGGGAGGAATTATATGTCTATTATATATTTAACTTACCTTCCTAATACAGTCATACATGCTAGGAAAATGAATATAACAAAGCTCTATTATTTGTTATAAGACTTGTGGAAGACTTGTATGATGATGAGGAACTGAAGGGGCCTTGGAAGCCAATGAATTAATTGATCCAGGACCCAACGTCAAGCAGAGAAGAAAAGGATTCTGTAATCACAGGACCTGCAGCCCCAGATTCTGTAACCTCTAAGCTTGAAGGAGTGACTATGATGAGTGCCCATGGAGGGGACAAGCTGCAGGCAGTGTCAAACATGTATTGTGATGCCCCTTTCATTCTTGCACTATGATACTGTACACAAGTTTGTAAAGGATGGAACTTGCACTGTGATATCATGATGCATGCTTTCTCATTTTGAAAAAAAATCTCAGCTTGTTGCAGACATCCTGGCAGCTGTTAGAGACAGCTAGGTAGCCAGGTAGAGAGTCAAATGACTTTCACACAGAAGTGTGAAAAGGTAAGAAAAAATTTCTTGGAACTAATGATCTCGCTGTTACTCCCTGCTTTCTGAATGAATTATATGCCTACCAACTGAATTGAGATGAAAGCTAGAAGCCTTTTATATAAAGCTCTCTGCTTGCACTGAAAACAATATGCATACTTTACGGGTGTCTGTAGCCAGTTGCTTTGAACCCAGCCCTGAACATTCAAACATTCTTGGACGCTGACTCAGTTTGTTTGTTTGTTTATTTAATTGATTTACATAGCTGCCCCATCTCACATACATGACTCTGGGCGTCTTACAATAAAAATAAATAAAATACATACAATACAAAAAATACATACAATACAAAAAATAAAAACACATAGCAGCTGGGTGTTGTAAAACAAACATTAACTAACCAGGAGACGGGCTCTGTCACACATTTGGGCCCCCAGGCTTGGGCCCAAAAAAAAAAAAAAGAAGTTTTCAAGGCCTTGCAGAAGGCCAGCAGGCCCTCATAGCCTCCAGACACCAAGACATTCCATGGCATTGCTCAGAGCACCTGAGGTGGAAATATAAAGTGGAGTATCATCAGCATACCGATGATACCTCACCCCAAATCGTCAGATGACCCCACCCTGCAGGTTTATGTAGAGGTTAAATGGGAGGGAAGGAAGTACTTAGCCTTGCAGCACCTCACAAAGAAAGGGTCATGGGCTGGACCTCTCTCCTCCATTAATACCAAATGAAACCAAGCCCGGAGGAAGGAGAAGAACCAGTGCTGCCCACTCCCAACTCCCAAAGCCAGTCCAGAAGAATACCATGACTGATGGGATTGAAAGCCACTGAGAGGTCAAAAGCAGCAAGGATGGATGTGCAAAAAAGTCATCCAAGAGTGTGATCAATGCCATCTCAGTCCCATTCCCAGGCCTGAACCCTGACTTGAAAGGGGTCCAAATAATGCACTTCTTCAGGGGTCCTCTATACTGCAGTGCAATCACCTCCTCTACAACCTTCCCTAAAAAAGGATTTTGCAGATGGATCCCTGGATCACTCCCTCCCAGGAGGGATCAGGTCACTCTAAACAAGGCCACTGGACAGTTAGCCATGGATGCAATATAGCCAGAGAAGTACTGACATTTTGTCGCCCTCATCACCACAAGGTAGGCTCTAATACTGGTGCTAGCCTGTGTTCTATCAAATTTGCTCCTCATCATCCTCCAGGAATCCTCTAGGTGTCTCTTCTCTCATTTGAACCAAGGGTTGAATCATCTTTTGGTTGCTGACTGTAGGTGGTGAGTGCTGCTGCAAAAGTAGCCTGGGTTTACTGATCACCTTGGAGAGGGTGGCTGGTTTGTTAGTATGGTTGGGGGGCCCATGGATTTGGAAGGGGACCAACATGAGCAGGGGAGAAGGGAGGTCTCTGGAGAGTTGGAGGCAGACTATAACATCTTGGTGCTGACAGGCAGGAGGAGATAAGATGGGAGACAGGAATGGCTGCTCTTGGGGATGGCGTCACAGGTATGTTGTTCCAGTGGTGCATTCCAGGCCCTCCACCCATCCTGGCTCTCACCCACAGGTGAGGCAGGCAACCCCTACATAGAAGAGTTTTTCTTATATTGGGACTTTTTCTTTTCCTGTACCTATTATCTGGACTCTTGGACTGTTTCTACACAATATTTTCTGCGCAGCCCTCTGACCTCAGCTTGACCTATATTCAGTGACCACTGAGATCAAGAGGAATTTCTGAAGGAGAAATATTGTGTGAACTCACAGATTACCATACTAAAAAACATCTCAGTTACAGGTAGGTCACCAGTTCTTCAGTATGGCCTCTGTAATGAATGTGGGTAAACAGCAAGCTGATTCACCTAGAGGTGAGCACCAAGGATGCTAGCCATCTAACTGTGTTGTCCTCTTGGGATTGAAATCAAGCTGATAGGGCTTGACACAGGTAGAAGATTTAGGCCCTGCAGCTCCCATATATAGTTCAAGAACTGGAATATTCCTCAGAAACATGGATGAAATAGAGATGGCTCTAGTATATAGAGAGCCAGTTTGGTATAGTGGTTAAGGCATCAGGCTAGAAACCGGGAGACCATGAGTTCTAGTCCTGCCTTAGGCATAAAGCCAGCTGGGTGACCTTGGGGCAGTTACTCTGTCTCAGCCCTAGGAAGGAGGCAATGTCAAGCCACTTCTGAAATCTTGCCACAAAAACTGCAGGGACTCATCCAAGCACTCGCCAGGAGTCAAAAACTAAGTAATTATTCAGTTTTAATAAATTGACCACACAGTAAAATATTGATCAATCTTTCCTCTATGTCAATATGGAATCAGTTCATAGCTGGAAAGTGAATACATATCATCCGACCAAAATTTGAAATCTGGTCTAGCAGAGTGAAGTAAAGCCATGATTTTAGCTATAGTGTATGCTTAGTAAATCCATAGTTCTTCATGCTTCAACTTGTTCCAAATTTTGGATATACAATCCAACATTACATTAACATATTTAACCTTTCCCTTCCCAGTTCCATATTGACAAACTTAACAATATTAAACCAAACCAGGACAATCATTGGAAGGACTAAAGCACATGCATTTGGGTCCCCTCCATTATTTTACATTCCTGCTTTACTGAAGTTCACATCCAGTCCTTTTTAAACATTCTGAGTTGTCCAATGCATTTGAAAGGGTATCCTTTGTTAAACTAAACAATCATAAGATCAAAAGATACATATTTAGCATTCTTTAAAACTTCAACTTAGTTATTACTTTATGCCAGAATCCTCGCGACCACTCCTTTGCACAACTGCTTTGTTTGCTGTGGTTCTGCCATTCCAGCAGATGGGGGGGGGGGTCAGAGCGAGGACTGCTAGGCCCCAATGAGCCATTTCCGAATCTTCAGGAACTAAAGGCATAGCAACAGAGGAAATCTGAGAGCCCCGACAACCTGCGCAGGAAGGATTCGGTGATTGAGGGGGAGGGGGGTAATACAAGGACTTTAAATTGGGGTTTAACTGTGGGAATTTAGTTCCAGCTATTTCTTTGTGCCTTAGAGCTGTGTACTACTGTTTTCTCAACAAATCTACTTGTCTCTGAACATGCATTGGTTTCGATGAGAGTTGCATTCATTGAGGACTGAGTACAGCGGTTCTTACATTTTATTATGCCCACATGCTACTCTAATCAGGCCTGACTCTGGCCAGCTTACAGATCTCCTCCAAAACAGTAATATATTTAAAACTAGGATACAACAATGTGGCTGTAAATTTTCCCTGTGTCAAGGAACAATCATATACACAGTCCCCAGGAGAAATAAGAACAATCCTTCAGGCCCCAAAACTTGCTGGAACAGCCAAGTCTTAAGAGCCCAGATAATATCAAGGGGAATGCTGATTTAAAAAAAAAAGATGTTTCAAATCATTCTATTTTTCTTGGAAATGACCAGTATCAATCTTCATAATATGCTTAAAATGTCTGTTTAAAAACCTCAACACCATAGACAAGCTTTTACCAGAGCAAGATCCGAACAGTTTGAATCTATGGTTAAGCTTGGGAGGTTTTATAGAGTTCCTTATCAGGAAGGATTATGCATATGCCACTGAAGATACTGCTCATATGTTACTTGAATGTTAATGGCATGATGTAGAAAGGACTGATCTACTGGAATCCCACATAAAATTTTAGAATTTTTGGGAGACTAAGGTTAAATTGTCCCATTTACTGCATTAAGCCAGCTTGCTGGTCATTAGGATTGCCTCTTTTTTGATATAAAATAACACAAAGGAAAGATCACTTAGCACAGATTGGAGCTGATTACAGGAGTGATGAAATTATTTGATTTACATTGATATTGATTATAGTTTCAATTGTATTTCTCTTTTTTGCTGGTATTTTATTTTTTGATGAAATGGTCAAAGGACTAATCAATAAAATGTTCATGTATGCATGTTTATAAAACACAAACTGTGGTTTTAGAATCTTCCAAAACTTTTTTCCAATTATATTAATATCTTAGGAAATATGGCTGCTAGTAAAAATTGAAATTCTATTCCACCAAATAGAAAAGAAAAAAGAATATACACTT